CTACCGACTTAAAGGCATGTTTCGGGATTGTACATGTTCACGAACTGGTTCTTTACGCCCCTTTTCCATCCCGAGGTGGAATCCGTCTGGAATAGAGGGGTGTTGTTCGGGGTGTGATCGGAGGTTTCGATTGCTTCCTTTTTCTTTTACGATCACTCCTCACCTCCAGCTTCATTACTTCATTCTCACACATCCATTTTATCCCGGGTCTTTCCTTTAAAAAAGGTTCAACGTTTATTCGAAAACCAAGGGACAATTGTCTTACTCATAGTTCGAGTCAATCAGTAATATTAATCAAGTACCTCTCGTTTTGATTGTGTGACAGTGATGGGTTTCGATAACGCTGCGATTGTTGATAGAACATCCATGCTGCCAGGACTCAGTATGTTGGCCCAAAGGAAAGACATCGGATCTTGATCGACACCACTGAGCCAAGGTGTCGTCCTAAAAGCGGCCAACTTCAGCATAATGAACGACAACCAAAGATGTATCAATTACAATTATGAAACACTGACATCCCATTGAGAAGATTCGCCTGAAGAAGCGAATTTGGATGCTCGCTCAGTGGCTTAGGCTGGGGTGGCACAGCAGCAGTTTGACGAAATGGAGACTCTGGTTTCACCATCGATAGGCCGTTGTTGAAAAGAGGCAGGCTGACCTCGCATGGCTGCAATGAAAAGCTTGACTACACGCAACTGAGAGCAAGACATCTACAATGAGTTTGCCAACCACTCACTGTATCAGATCTGTCCGTCCTTTGCACTTTCATGAGACTTGCCATGATACTGTCGTTCATTACCTGCATGGGATAGTCATCATCCTCTTCAGTCTTCAAGATGTCCTGGAAATTGAAGAATCACATTGTATATAGGGACTCATGGAACTAAAGCTCACATCTAATCCATCGAACATCATTAGTTTCCTCTTTTGTGGGTTCATAGGGCGAGTCCTTGGTTTGCGAGGTTTACCAACACGCGAGCGTGCTAGCTGTATACTTTTGCGCAAACTTTCCTTGTTCTCGAATTCTGTAATGAGAAAATGAAGTTCCTGAGGGCTAAATTGCTGTGGTCACCATGAAAGATGTTCGAGTGCTTACCGACTCCATGACTGAGATAATCGCATGCCTGATTGACAAGATCACCAGCATCCAAATCAGGATTCTCCAATGCAGCCATGAATAGTTGTGACTGAAACGGTGTTTATAGACTTCCTCTTTACTTCGCATTGACAATAGGAGTAGAATTTGAGAAAACCATTTTGTAACGAACTGTAAAGCGTCATGTGTGTCACTGTGCTTTACAACAGTGAAAAAATTCTGTTCGCCAATTTTGTTTAACAACTCTCTTAGGGCAATAAGCACGATAGCTGGAGGGCGGTACGGTTTTGATGATATCGTCGAAAGTGATTGGTGGACTAGCTCTCAGCAGCAGATGTGATTGGGATCGTCACTTATGGTTAGCTTCCTTGCACCAAT